AAATAATTTAAAAAAGAAAGAAAGAAATTTTATCTCAGAATAATCCCCAACTTTGGAAATTTTGATAGCCTTTTTTTCTCTTCAGTGTAGGAAGCAATTTTTTTAATTGAATAATTTTGCTCTAACTCACCTATGTAGGTTTAGTAAATGTAGTCTCCAAAAACTTGTCCTGGCCTTTCATCTGTTGAAAGCACGAAGTCCCATCCTGAGAAGGGCTTTGGAGTCCTGATTTTGAATCTTGCCTGAATTACTTGGTAGCTCAGTAACCTTGAGCAACTATTAATAACTTAATTTAAGCATCAGATTCTCTTATCACTGAAATGGAAATGATAATAAGACTTTATAAGATTCTTGAACTGAATGAAGGCACATGAAGAATAGCTGGCAGAGAGTGAGTTCTTAATAAATAGTAATCATTGTTTATAGGACTAATCGAGAGGACTAAAATGGTACAATAAGCTTAATTTCTTACAGGTAATTAGAAGATAATGACATTACAGAAGCTGCTGTAGCTTGGTCAAAGGGTGTGTTCTAATTAATCCTGTGTTTCTTAAGGGAAATAATTTGCATTACTTAACTCTTCACAGAACAACGGGACCACTGAACATCAGGTAGAATCTTTCATAAGGAAGAAACTGGAGTCACTGTTAAGAGAATCTCAAATTCGAGATAAAGAAGATCCTGATAGTTTCACAGTGAGGGCCCTACTGAAGGCAACACATGAAGGCTTAAATGTGCACCTGAAGCAGGTATATGGTTCCCTTTGTGTTTGTCTGTTGGAAAAGAAAGCACCACATACTGTGTCTCTGATCATTTGTTATTTGTGAAATGCTTCTCCAGCTTCTTCCCTCTCTATCCTCACATTGCTCGAGAAATGAAAATCTCCCATTGCAAAATGATATGGTGGATGAGTGGGAGTGGGGGTGGAAATGACTCAAATACTGTTTTCCTGGGACCTTTGGGACAAGGCCTAGTGTCTGCAGACCTGTCTTCCCAATGCTCACTCATATGAGGGAAGAGGTGTCAGCCCATCATGTCCTCTCCCTCCCACCTCCAGGTGGTGTCCAGGTGGCCTCTGAGCACCTCCTGGGTCTGTTGCTCCTCTTCATGGCTGTGTCCTCATCTAGATCAAGCTCAACTCTCACCCAGACATCTCTCATCCCCCTTCAGTCTGATCTCTACTCTGCAATCAGTTCCATTTTTAAAAGATGCATATCTAGTCATGTTACCGTCTGTTTACAGTTCTTCAGTGACTTTCAATTATGCTTGGAATAAGTTGCGAACTCTTTAATCAAACTTTCAAGGACCCGCATCATTGCATTCTTCAGTCTCAGATTTCCCATTTGTTTCCCTGTCCCACTGCCTTCCATAGTGTCTCACCAGACACCATGTCCTTGAGTGGCTCCCTCCAATCCTCCTCACGTTCCATTTCCTCTGTCGGCAACAACACATTCTGCTATCTTTTCTAGCTAACTGCTACCTAGTCTTTTAAATTCTAGCTTTTATGGGAGTCCTGAATGAGTCTTGCCTTCACCCCCTTTCAGAGTTTTGGCTGAACACTCTAAGGACCTACTTGGTGAGATAGTGCAAGCTAGCTCTGTTTTGATATCCGCCAACCTCTATCCTAAGAAACCACAGTATTAGGTTTAAATTTTGACTGTGAAGAGATACAAACAACTGTGGTGCCCAGCTCCACCCTTCAGTTCTTTTCTGCTACAGAACTTTGAAAGTCAACCTCAGAATGTCCCAAAGTGGACAGCCCTAGACACAGGTTCCAATTAAATTGTCTCAGGCAGTACAAACCCTGCTCGACAGAGAGGGATTCCAGGGTCTCCAACAGCACAATAAGAGCCAGGGATCCACACTCCTTCCCACCAGACTCAGTCCACACTGTTGTCCTCTTCTCTGCTCACAGGCCCAGTTGGAGCCAAGGGCCATGCCTCCTAGTCTCAGTCTACACCCAGCTAGCCTCTGTTGCCAGACCAGCTGGAGTCAGGGGACCATGCCCCTGCCTACCAGTCTCAGTCCACTGCCTGGCAAGCCTCTGTTTGCAGGCTCTGTTAGAGTCAGGGCACGGCACTCCACCCGCAGGTCTCAGTCCTCACCTGGTAAGCCTCTGCTCACCAGCCCCACTGGAGACAGAGCCCTAGCCCTCAGATCTTGGTTCACACCCAGTAAGCCACTGCTTGAGGGTTCTGTTGGATTCAGGGGATCACGCCCTTGCTCTCAGGTCTTGGTCCACACCTACCAAGCCTCTGCTTGTAGGCCCGGCAGGGACTGGAGAGCAGCCCTGTCTGCCGAACTCAGTCCACAGGGGGCAACCACTCTCCTGCTGTGGGTGCCGTCAGAACCACGGGTTCTGCACCCTGTCCCACCAGACACGGCCCAAGCCGAGGGTCCACACCACCACTGGCCGGGCATAGTCATAACCAGGGGACTGCTCCTCCTCCTGCTGAGTGTGCCTTTCTTCCCACTCCCTCTTTCTTCCTTGTTAGTCACAGATTCCGTCCTGATGGTTGGTGGACCACACTGTGCCCAGATCTCTCAGGACAAGACCAAACACTCTGTGCTCTGCAGGGGGCAGAACTTCAGATCACCATGTGAGGGGGAAAGGGTGGAGTTTGGACTTGTGGAGGAAAATATCTGTTCAATTTTATGCCTGCCAGGGTGGTGTCTAGGTTCATAAGTGGGATCTCCCTGGAGAAAGAGACCTGGAGTTTAGCAGCTCTCTCCAGTGAGGTAAAATGAGAGATCTCTTGTTCCCTGCTTGTTTGCAAATTGCCTGCAGCAGGCCTCCTGTCTGAGGGAGGGGTCTCCTGTTCTCTAGTCAATAGGCTTTGTACCTGTAATTTGTTTCTTGAATGCTCTTCATTGGAGTTACAACTTGCCCAACTTCTTACTTGGATCAGCTCCCCATCTTTGGCTTCATAGAGTTCGATTCCGTCCAGTTTTTCTTTCTCTGCTCAGGAACCTCTGCCAAGGGTTGCTACCAGTCGGCCATCTTCCCAGAATTCCTCCTGTCAATTAATTTTTATGATAAAAGTACATACAATCCCTCATCTATTATTACTTTTTAATCCCAACATGGTTTCTACAATATCTCAAAAGAAAACAGAACCCCCCCAAAAAAAATTATGAAGGAAGATTGTTCAGAGAAAAGTAGACAGATAAGTACTTTTCTGTTGAGGCAGTTAGTAAGCCACTCTGCTTAATTTATAGGGAATTTGTGTAAATTTTCAAAGACTATACTTTGAGAAGGCATTATATGCAAAAGCATGCTACCAACTTTGATGCCTATGAAGGATTGTGCCATAAGGACAAAATAGCAGAACTCAAAAAATGTTTGTCTTCTCAATAAAATGTTTTGCAAAAGTAACAACTTTGATGGATTCCATTGTTAGAGCTAGTTATGTGGCAAAAAAAAATCGAGATCATTTACTGATGGCAAGTTTATTAATTTAAACAATGTATGGAAAGCTCTGGAATAAAGGGGGATATTTCTTTCTTTTTTTTTTTTTGAGACGGAACCTCAAGCTGTCCCCCTGGGTAGAGTGCCATGGCATCACACTCACAGCAACCTCCAACTCCTGGGCTCAAGCGAGTCTCCTGCCTCAGCCTCCCAAGTAGCTGGGACTACAGGTGCCTGCCACCCACAACGCCTGGCCATTTTTTGGTTGCAGCCGTCATTGTTGTTTGGCGGGTCCGGGCTGGGGATTCGAACCCTCCACCTTAGATGTATGTGGCTGGCGCCTTAGCTGCTTGAGCCACAGGCGCCGAGCCTAAAAGGGGGATATTTCTAAAATCAGTTTGTCCACCAGACTGTGGTCAAGTGAATTGAAGAAACACAGTGGCTGTTGCTGCCTGTAATCCTAGCATCTCTCTGGGAGGCTGAGGTAGGAGGATCCCTTGAGCTCAGGAGTTAAGAGATCAGCCTGAACAAAGTGAGACCCCTACCTGTACTGAAAAATATAAAATTAGCCAGGCATCATGGGGGCATGTATAGTCCCAGCTACTTGGGAAGCTGAGACAGGAGGACTATTCGAACCCGGGAATTTGAGGTTACTGAGAGCTAGGTGATGCCATGGCATTCTATCCTGGGCAACAGAGTGAGACTCTGTCTCCAAAAAAAAAGTTTGGAGAGTAAACTGCTCGTTTTAAATTTCATGCTTTGGCAGTGGATGACAGCACTCATGCTACACATACAGCTCAACTTGTCATTTTCATTAGACGTAAAGATGATGAATATAGTGTCACTGAAGAAATGGCTTCTTTAGCACCATTGAAAGACACAACTAAACCAAGAGATTTATACAAAGCAGTAAATATATATTAAAGTGATTTTCTTTGTTCATTATCAACATATCTGGCATAGATACTGACGTTGCCCAAGCGATGGTAGGTAAAAGAGAGGGACTTATGAAATTAATAGAAGATGATGCAGTCGCCACCTAAAACTCAGGTCTGATGAAGTGTACAGCATAGTCCATCAAGAAAATTTATGCATGAAAACATTAAAAATGGATAACATCGTGCAAATCATCGTCAAGACTAAATTTGTAGGATCCAAGGGACTGAATGGGCGCCAATTCCAGGAATTCCTTAAAAGTATTGATGCTGACTATGGCAATATCATCTGCTTTTTGGAATTAAGATGCCAAATGTTGAAAAGATTTTGTGATTTAAGACATGTTATCAAGTCATTTATGGTATCAAAACCAAATTTGTACCAGAACTTGGTGATGGAGACTAGCTTACAGATTTAGCATTTTTAGCAGATTTAACCACTCATTTAAATGAGTTAAACATGCGTCTTCAAGGTGAAAACCAACCTATCAAATGCAATATTTCAAATAAAACTGAAATTATGGCAAACGCAAAGTAAGGCAAGCAAGTTTGTGCATTTTGACACATTGGCTGCTCACACGCCAAACAATACGCAGCCTTGCTTTTCAATTTGAAATAAGAATTTGCAAATAGATTCGAGGATTTCTGAGGAAATAATCAATATTTTGGTGCATTTGCAACTTCATTTTCAGTTGACATAAATATGTTAGTTGCCAATTTTCAAGTGGAATGTACCGAGCTGCACCCTGATATTCAACTTAAAGAAAAATTTGATCGTGTCTCTACTAGACTTTTATAGGTTTTATCTTCCCAGAGACAAATATCCCTCACTTCCCAGTCATACTTTACTCACGTCGTTGCTTTTTGGCAGCACCTACATTTGCAAACAACTGTTTTTAAGAATGAAGCACGTTAAGAGTAAAATCAGAATCCAAATATCAATGAACACCTTGAGAACTCACTAACAATCACAACGACTTCCACCAAACCAGACATTGATGCATTAGCTTCTCAAATACAATGTCAAACAGCCCACTAGCTTTAGGTTGCCTACTTTTCTTTTACTTTTATAATAAAAATATAAAAAAAGTTTTAGTTCACATGTATGCACATTTTTTCTATTAGTGATCACAAACTTGGGACCTGCTTGATGATTTTTTAAAAACTGTCTGAACGGGCTGCATAATTAGGATTATCATGTGAGGGCGTGTTTGATTATCGATGGTGGCAGATAACATGAAAATTATGTACAGACCTTTCTTTTTCTCATCAGCTTCCATTAGTGTTTACGTAGGACCCAAGACAACAATTCTCCTTCTGATGTGGCCCAGGGAAGGCAACAGGTTGGACACCCCTGCCTTATACTTCATCATACATAATTTTGGATTTCCTTTAAACTTTCACAAACAGTAAGTTTCGGTTAGCCCAGCTTGATTCTGCTTCTCATTCTTGGTCTGGGCCGGTCTCTTCCCCTCATTTTGAGAAGTCTTTGCCTCCTCCTAGATCTTTCCAATTGGAAAGGTGGCCCCACGTCATAGATGTTTTGGAAGAAACACATTAAACCCATCTTCTTTTTTGCTATTCATTGAAAAGGTCCTCAGACAATTTCCCCATCGGGTAAAATGGTAAGGGAAGTTTACATTTCAGAGATGTAATAGAGCGAAATTCGTTCCCTTTTTTCTTGCTTTTTACTTTCCCTTAAACCTGGGTGACTGAAAGAAGGCATTAGATGAGTATGAAGTAAGTGGAGCCTGGGACTTTCAGAACTTGGGCCGGAGAGTGTTGACACTGCTGTATTTTTAGAATGTGGTTTTGGTTCAGTGGGCAAGGAGAGGCGAGTTCCTGCCGAGGCTAGTCTGTCTGTGCCAGATAGGTGTGTGTACGTTCAGATCCGACGCGGAGAGCATGCCGTGCCTGGCTCAGGCTGCGCTCCTCTCCGGCTTCTGCTTCCCTGGGTTGTCAGTCAGCGGTGCCGGAAGGGGTGTTACTTACGCTTTTTCCTGGAGAGCCTGAAGAAAAATAATAAAATTGTCCTTCGTGCTGGAAGAACTCAGTAGACACAGGAATACGTTCTTAAGAGTTTGTAAATCTGCTGCTTCTTTACCCTGAATTGCTGGGGCCGGGATAACCCTCGGGAGACCTCAGCCAGGTGTCTCCCGCTCTCAGCTGCCCCGCCTCTCCAGTCTCTCATTCACACTACTACCGCGGTGACTGTTTGTGACAACTCAGTTTCCAACCATCCAAGGGCTCCTTGTAGTTTGGAAGGTTAAGCTCAGATTCAGAGATTATCGCCCCTGAGATTCTCCCTTTGTGTTCTGCACCCTGAGGGTGACTGACTACCCAGTGCGTGTAGCTGTTAGGACACTCAGAGACACGGTCTTTGGCTCCTGGAAGGTGCGGGGCTCTTACCATTTGGTCTTTGTGTTTGCTGGTTTCTTGTTTGTCTGTTTGTTTTGTTTTCTGGCCACAACATA